CGCGGCGGCGCCCGAGGAAGCCGTCGAGGAAGCCGCGGCGGCGCCCGAGGACGCGGTCGAGGAAGCCTCGCCGCCGCCCGAGGCCGCGGTCGAGGAAGCCGCGGCGCCCGAGGAAGCGGCGCCCCCCGGGGAACCGGCGCCCTCTGCGGAAGCGCGCCCCCCCGCCGCGGGCCCGGCGCCGGACGCGGCGGCGCCGGCCGACGTCGCGGCGCCGGGCGCGGGGCCGGCGCCGGAGCCCGGGGACATGTTCCAGCCGTCGGAGACGCGGCGCCGCGCGCCGAGCGTGACGCGGCTCCGCGCGCACTCCATCGACGAGCTCATCGGCGGCCTCACGCGCCGGCCGAGCGACGCCAAGGACGAGGACGCGCCGCCGCCCGCCGAGGCGCCGGCCCCCGCGCGCGCGCCCGTCGTCGACCCGGCGAGCTGGCGCCCGGAGTGGATGCTCGAGCCGGGAGCCGCGGCGGACGCGGACGCGGCGCCGGCCGAGGCCGCCGGCGACCCCATGGTCGGCGTGGAGCCCGCGGCCTCGCCGGCGCCGGCCGTCGCCGAGGCCGCGGCCGCGCAGGCCCAGGCCCTCTTCGAGGAGATGCAGGACGCCGGGCCCTGAACGTCGCGTCGCGCGTGGATCCGAACTAAGCAAGCCCGTCCATCGGCGCGTCTAGACGCGCTGAGGCAAGGCATGCCCCGACTCCCGCGGTTCCTCCCGCCCCCCCTACGTTTAGCGACGCGTCAAGGCAAGGCATGCCCTCTCCGTCGACGTGCTCGTATACGCCTCCGCCCTAGTCGTGTCCTCCCGTGCCCCCCCCTACGCCTCCCTTCGCCGTCGTCTCTCCCTCCGGTTCCTCCTCGCGCCGCGGCTAACAGGCAAGGCAGACAAGAACAGAGAACACGAACCGCTTTTGTGATCTCGCCACAACCGTCGTGCACTAACTCCTCGCGACGTCCGTTCTCACGCCGTCGACGACGTTCTCACGCCGTCGACGAGCGGATCGGAGGGAGTCGTTCGACGATGTTGCGCATCTTCGACCCCCTCTACTGGCGCCTCGTCAAGGAGCGCCCCTTCGAGCGCATCCGGCTCGTCTGGCACGCGACGCTGGCGGTGGTCGCCTCGTTCGTGGTCGTGGGCATCGCCGTCGCCGCCCGCGTCGACGAGGCGCGGAACTTCGCGCATCGCGGCGTCGCGTTCGCGATGGTCTGGTCCGCGGCGCTCCTCGCCGGCGTCGGCGCCTTCGGGACGTCCGTGCTCCGGCGCGGCCCGGCCCGGACGGCGCTCCACCGGTCGGACGTCGGCGCGTGGCTCGGCGCGACGGCGACGGCGTCGCAGACGTTCTTCGTCCTCTTCGCGCTGTTCGCGAACCTCGCGCGGCGGAACGACCTCGGGGGCACGACCGCGGCGCACCGCGGCGCCGCCGCGTTCTGCTTCTTCGCCTTCGCCGCGATGACGTCGACGACGCTGATCCTCGCGCGCGAGCGGGCGGCGCTCCTCCGACCCTTCGACGACGACCCGGCGGCGCTCCGCGCGCGAGCGGACGTCGAGGGCTCCGCGGCGCGGACCGCCGGCGGCGTCGAGCTCGAGCTCGCGTCGCCGCGGGACGTCCAAGCCGCGTGCGTCTAGTCTACACCGGGGCCCGCGCGCCCCGAGAGTGCACCGTTCAGGTGAGTCGACCCAGAGACCAGAATCGAGGCGTGTTCGCCTCGGGGGGGCGGAACTTCCGTCTAGACTACGCGGCCTGGCCCGACGCGCGTGGCCGGGGATAACATTTGGTGAGTGTCTCTGCCGCCCTTGCAATCGAGCCGAGCCTGACCTCGCACTAGGAATGCCCATAGCTAGGTCTTCTTTTGCGACTGGCGAGGCGCCGTGCCCAGGTGTGCCGCCGCGGCGAACGGCACCACCGGTTACGATCACCCGGTACGACAAAAGACGTCAGCGTACCGAAGGTCGTCTGCTAAGTAGGGCGCATGCCCCCCTGCTAAGTAGGGCGCACGCCTGTTAGCCGCGGCACAGGGAGGAAGCGAAGGGAGGGAGAACGGCGAAGAGAGGCGTAGGGAGAGCCTCCCTCGACGACTCCGAGCTCACTCGCCGGTCGCGAACTCGTCGAAGGAGCCTTGCCCCCTCGCCCCGCCGCGCCCCGCCGGGGCCTCCGAGCCCCCGCGGGACCGGGCCGGGCCATGACGGAGCTATAACTCGAACTCCTGCCAGCCGCCGCGCGGGGCCGTCACCGTGAACGTCTTGAGGAGCTCCGCGCCCCGGTAGGCGACGAACTTGTGGCCCGGGTGCGTCGAGAGGCGCTCCGCGGTCCCCGGCGCGATGTCCGCGGTCACGGGGACGCGCTCGCCCGTGGACTCGTTCTCCCAGAAGACGCGGACGGCGCCCTGCGCGGCGTTCTTGAACGTGGCGACGACGCCCGCGGGCCGGTCGTCGCCGGCCGCGTCCTCGCCGCGGAGGAGCGCGCGCATGGCCCGCTCGACGGCCCCGAGCTCGAAGGGGTCCAGCGCGCCGCACGCCGCGACCGCGGGCGGCGCGTTCGCGGCGAGGTGGCCCTCCGACGACGCGCGGGGCACCGTCGCGACGTCGCGCTGCGCGAGCGCCTTGAGGACCAGGGTCGCGGCGTCGACGCCGCGGGCCGCCGCGAGCGCGTCGAGCTTCGCGGCGGCCCCGGGCGCGGCCGCGCGGCGCGCGACGACGCCGTTCATGACCTGCGCGGGCGTCGACCGTGGAGCCGGGGCGCGAAGTCGACGGCTCTCGTCCCGGCGTCGAAGCGCGGCCGAAAGACCCCGCGTCGAAGTCGCGTCGAAGATGCGCGCCGCTCGCGACGTTGTAGGCGACGAAGCGCACGCGATGCTCGCGGAGCAGCTCCACGAGGCGCGGGTCGAAGAGGAAGGCCCAGACGTTGCCCTGGTACACGTGCGGCGCGACGGCCGCGTCGCGGAGGAGCCGCGCCATATCATCATAATCGAAGTTCGACACGCCGATGGCCGCGAGCCGGCCGGCGCCGTAGAACTCCTCGAGCGCCCGCCAGCTCCCGACCCAGGCGTCCGCGCCCGGCGCGGGGCCCGCGCGCCGGTAGCGGAGCTCCGCCTCCGCCTCCTCCTCCGCGCAGCGCATCCAGGCGATGTCGTCGCGGCAGCGCGGCCAGTGGAGGAGCATGACGACGTCGACGCCGCCGCCGAGGCTCTTCAGGGACTCCTCCACGGCGAGCCGCGTGCGGCCGTAGCCGAGGTGCGTGTACCAGACCTTGGTGACGACGACGACCCGCCGCTCGGGCCGCGGCAGGCGCCGCAGCGTCTCCTGGAGCAGGTGCTCGTTGTTCGACGCCATGGCCGTGTCGACGAGGCGCACGCCGAAGCGCTCGACGCCCGCGGACACGACGGCCGGGATGGACCGGTGCGCCAGGTTGCCCACGCCGAGGCCGACGACGGGCAGCTCGAAGCCGTTGCTCAGCTCGAAGTCGAGGAAGCCGCCGCCGTCGCCGCCGCCGCGCGACCGCGCGACGAGCCACAGCAGCGCGAGGGCGCGCCGGCGCATCGCCCGCAGCGTTTCAGGCGGCGCGCGCGGCTCCCATGCTCGTCGATCGTCAGCGTATCCATGGATCCGGCACGGCCGGCCTCAATGTCGGGCGCGCTTTCGTCGATCGAGTGCTCGCACGATGCCAAAAAAATAAGGCACCCATGCGCGACTGCGGCCGGCTGCACGGTCCCGGCTGGCGCGTCGCCGTGATCGGCATCGCGCTCATCGTCGGGTCCTGGGTCACGGAGCTGCTCCACGTCCACGACGCGTCGCGGCCGCCGCAGCCCTACGACGTCGTCGCCCGGCCGGCGGCCTCCGCGCCGGCGCCGGC